AGGTTGAATTATGGGGATATAATTAGCTTCACGCACTTCTAATCCACTAAATATTCAGCCTGCTGTTAATCAGCTTTGTACACCTTAAATCAACCAATAATCAGCTTCGGTTCTTACTGTTCAGCATGAATTGTTACTTGGGAGTATAGCTCTATATATTGAAACAAATGAGATAATCCGCCATAGCCAAGCCAAGCTGTGGGTATCCTTATTCGCGGATAGCCCGACAATAAGGAATCCGCCAATAAGGATTCCTGACTGTAGCTAGAACTAGGAATCGGTGGTATGTCTTACATCGCGTAACGTACCAGGAAAAGGTGACCTACCCACGTTACGGGTATACCTTAACAAGGCATGTTTCTTGTTTGAACCCAAGTGTGATCGAAAACTCTCCGGATGTAGCAAGGAAGCGGCTTGAGAATTGTTTGGAGTACTTGGTCGATCATCATCATTTGGCAAGTACTATTGTTGCGGACATGGTGAAGAATGAAGATTCGGAGCTTTCTGCAATGGCATTCTTCAAAGCAGCTTGTTCAAGTTACAGCAGACAGGAGACACGGGTTGACAGCTTTTGGTTGATGGTAATTCCGGAAAATAGCTTTATAATTTGCAATCGTTTATCAAGATGATCCATAGTCTATCCCACGGAAACGCAGCTCAGGAGGGAAGATTATCCGTTAACAAGGAGTGCCTAGTGGTTAACCAGTCCGAAGATGGTGTGGTAGCACAACGAATAGTACATGATGGGATGATTGCTGCTGACGGTGTTTGACAAGCAGCTCATTCAATATTGCAGATGTGCACGAAGTCGTTACCAGGAATGTTTGGATGGAAAGCGAGCTGAGGATTCCGCCAAAGATAAAGAAGCCAACCGGAATAGGGAAGCTGTCTGAGCAATCAAGATGCTAGAAATGAAGAGAGTCAAATTTTTGGTAGACGCAGAGAAAGAAGCTGCTACTTTGGACGCAGATCTTAGTGAGCCGAAGAAGTAAAGTGTACTATTTCTCCTCACGTTTTTAATAAACAAAACCGAACATAGTAGAAGATTCTAATTTCAAATAACAGACTAGAGTGGTAATTTTTATACGATAGATGAGGAGACGAAAGGGAATGAAAGTATGAGCAAACGATCAACGAGTAGGCTGTACGTGTGATCGAACCTGACGTTTGTTTTTTCCGTGGAGTTTTTTTATTAATCTATAATCGGTTGCTGATTTTTCCAAAACCAGGCCAAAGAGACAATTTCTAGTTCCTCAGTTCCTATTATTTGCCGCTGATAAGCAGTTCCGAAGCCAAGTTGAACCTCCACGAGACGTTCCATCATTCGTCCCATCATTAGTTCCATCATTCGTTGAGTCGCAGCGTTGAACCTGACTATTGGCCACGAAAATTTGTTTATCTCAAAACGACGGAAGACATTCCGCGCAACTACCATAAACCGGACTAGTTCATGTTGATCTTCGTCAAACTTCGTCTACAATTTGGACTTCTACATCAACACATGTCAAGCAGCCTTCCGGTTCAATTGGCTAAACTTGGTGAGTTCGTTCCATTTTGTAAATTTTTGTCTTTTTAAAACCAGTAACGTTGGGAGATCACCTTTTTGTGATGCGTTACTGGTATAACATCTACCACCGAACCCTGACAGCAGTCGTGACAACTTCAAACTAAGGAGATCAGTATTTCCAGTTATCAAAGGATCACATTTTAGTCCTTTTTATTTTTTATGACTTGATAATAGTGACAAGACTCGGGTAGTGACCACCGCCGTTATGCATTTCTTTATTCATTTCATATATTTCATTCATGTTCAAATCAAAATATTGTTTATGTTCATAGATTTCACATAATGCTTTTCCCTTTGTCCTTCTCCTTTTCCTTTCTCTCTTCTCTTTTCAGAATGCGAGTAATGGCGCTATAGCCAATAGTCATAAAAGACTAGGACAAGAGCTAGTGCTCATGTCCCAACCGTCAGAAGAAAGTGGAGCATCACTTAGTCTTTCTAACTTTGATGCTTCCAACGACCAAGCAATCATATAATTACCAAAATCGGAACGTACGGTACGAGATGTCCAAGTTTCATCCAATTATTGGATTCTGAAGCATCGTGTTTAAATCTTTGATTTTAACAGGCCCGATGTTTTCTGAATCATCTTGTCCCTTAAATGCTGCACAGTAGGCCTGGCCGTTTTGATATGTGTGACGCATCTTCGATGTGAAACATATATCAAATAGACAAGAAAAATGATGAAGGTATATATATCATTTTCCAGGATGCTTTCAAGAACTGGCTGTGTTGGTGTTAGATTAGATTAGATAGATGAGGAGATGAAAGTATAGAGTTGATAGTTCCTACTCTAACGTGTAACCAGTAGCAGCACCTACCTTACCCGTGTCCTCTTGAGATCGTCAAGTCGACGATGACAGGAGCACATACCGTGGTAAAGGTAACAATAGCTGCAATTTCCAAACCTGAGACTGGATGCCTTCCTTCAGATAACAACTCGAGAGCGGTAAAAATCGATAGAACTGTTTCAAACACATCGTCGGTACTTGAGTGTGTCAGTGATCATCTCTTTTTGCCAGTGGTGGCGGGGGGAATACCCCCTCACCACCCCTCTCCAACGGGGGAGTTTGGTAAAGAGAGATGATCAAACCGATTTGCACCTTCATTCATTAAAGTTGTCCTTGCTCGCATTCTACTCTCTATGTAAACAATTTCACACTGCCGTACTGTAACAAAACTATCAACTCTATACTTTCATCTCCTCGTCTATCGTATAAAAATTACAACTCTAGTCTGTTATTTGAAATTAGCATCTTCAAGTATGTAAATCGTTGACTTTACGCATAAGTAATATAAAACAAATAGTTGAATTAAAACCGAACCTTTTCTATTAAACACAATTTCGTTTTACTTTTTATTTGTTTCTTTGAAATATTTGGTGTTGGTTAGCTGGTACACATGTTATGACGGTTCCATGCTGATGCTAATATGATTATAAAGTTGTTAAAAATAACCGGGAAAATGTTTAACGTCTAACCGAGTCCATTAACCCATTAGTTATTTTGTGTTCAAAATTCGAAACATTGCGACTATAAAAACATATAAAATATTGGAATTAAAAAAAATATCAAAATTATGGTACCGTAAAACGGGGTATCTTTGAAAATGCGGGTCACTTTGATAATATAATATAAAGAATAAATTTACTCGCTGTGCTTTTTCCAAATAAGAAACATTGGTTTCACATTGTAGCTTAGGGTATTTCCGTTGATATCGTATATAATTTTTAAATAGTATGTGTTACATATTTTACAAAAATATTAAAAAACCATTTTCGTGTTTAAAGCCTTTTTGAAAAAGCACTCAAACCATCACTTATGAAATGTATTTCCGATACAGCCATCACAAATTCAATGTTGTATTCTTATTGGTTATGACGTTTTCTGATTATATACTCATTCAAAGTTTCATATTTAAAGAACAAAATTGTTTGAGTTTCACTCATTTTTTTCTACATTCATCGAGCATTATCAAAGTAACCCCAAATCAAAATACTGAAGTTCGGTCACAAAACTAAAAAAATGGTGCAAATGCTTTAATTTTCGTTCAACATATTACCACAGACAAACAGACGTAACTCTTCATTGTGTATCTTCGTTCATGCATTTAACGGTTGATTTGAATATTATCAGTTCCGCGAACTACTCGCCGCAGCGCTGGCATCGGATCACTTTGACGTTTCTATACATTCTATAGAACTTTTATGCAATATTGTTTACGAGTTAGCGAGCAAGCTTGTTTTCCGCGGGAAGCCAGAGAGATGTCGTTACTGAGGTTATATGTTTTGAGATACTATGTTTTCAAGAACAAGTTTTTCATAGAGTTACGTCTGTTTGTCTGTGATATTACTAACGAATTGACTCTTAGATCTTCAGTACTTGTTTTAAAAATATAAAATTTGAACAACATTAATTACTGTAAAACATTTTTAGAATATACTTTAAAAAACTATCAATGTTACCCCGTTTTACGGTTTATAATTTGACAATCCAAAAAGATTGCTAAAATCAACCAAGCTTTATACAATTTTGCTGTTTATATAAAACCAGAAAAATTTGGTTTGCACCCGGGAAAAATCGATTCCATTTGAAATGCTTCATGTTGCCAAGCTTTAGCGATTAAAAGTCGTAATGGTTTGTAGTGATGAAAGCAGCTCGGTGGCTTAGCAGCAACCAATTTTGCTTACCGAACATAATATTGTAAATTTAATTTTTTTAGATCATTCCAACAATTTTTGTGGATCAATTTAATTAGCTGGATCATTCGAGATATGTTTATGGGTAATTCGAACAATTTCAATGCTCATTCTTTAAACAATTGTGTTTGTCAAATTTTACGTTAAATTTGGACGATAGTAACATTTTTTATGCATCATTCTCACTTTTTTAGGGATTTTCACCGTAGTTTTATGGATCATTTGGGTGTTTTTTTTTTTAAGAAGCGTTTATCAATTGTTTATGGATCATTTATTTATTTATATATGCAAAAGAATGATTGCCTTTGGGGAACGAATTCCTTTGTTGAAAAGTTCTGGACATTTTGGATTTCAAAACCTAGCACTTTGTATAATTTAAGCATTCTTAAGTGCATGTCCTGTGATGCCTCATGTATTCTAATAGTTGATTTTTACATACTGAAAAGCAGTAAATGATTCACATGAGAAAATTGATAAGATATTTAAGCATAGGCCGAACCAGTGATTTCCAACCAAGGCAGTCTTCAGCTCTAATACTAATTACGGCAGAACTGGGCAAGTTTTTCCAGCCTCCATGCCGCATCAAATCCATCGGATCGGAAACACTCTGGTCAAGAATTTATTTCAGGAGGCTTTAAATACATGAGCATCAACCCGTTAGAATACTTCTTCCGCCAAACCCAAGAAAACAAATCATAAGCAAACAAATGGCTACGAAAGCAGCAGAAATCCACTCACCCGGCCTTCAGCAGATTATCGTGCGGCGAAATGTGCTGCCCCAGTGCGGGTGGCGTTACGAAGCTGGAACTTGAACTCGGCGGATATCCGGAGGGAACGGTCGGTGGGTAAACTCCCGATCCCAGCGAACTGGCATACGGTCCACTGTACTGGTACGCATTCGGCGCATAGCCCGGATAGCCGTTGGTATAGTCCGGCTGAACCACCATCCCGTAGCTAGTGTGCGGACTGTATCCAGCCGAGTACGGAGAAAGGTTTTCGCTCGTGAAGAAGCTCTGGCCACGATCGGTTGCCGTCGCCGACGACGATGGGGGAACGTTGCACTCGCCACTGGTGTCGCGGTAGGTGTCCGCATAGTACGAACCCCCACTGTCCGGAGTGGACTCGCGGCTGTACGAAGCCGACGGGGGCTGTGGCCGAGCGAAGCCAATCCCCAGCGGACGATCGCTGCTGCCGCTAAATTCGGTCTGGTTGACGTCCGTAGTACTGCGCGACTCCGGGACCTCGTTCGTATACACTGGATTATTGTTGTTGTTGTTGTTGTTGTTGTTATTGGGATTGGTATTGTTGTTGTTCACAGTGGCTGGGTTCGTGGTGGGGTTGCTTACGTTCGTTGTTCCGGTGGTGGAGTTTCTTGCAAAATGAGGACTCGTTCCACCGCTAGATAGGAGAGGAGTTCGATTTAGTATAGGTGGGAGAGGGGGAGTTCGAGAAGATGGACTTACCTATTGTTTGAACTGAGATCTAGGGTAGCTTGTGGACTGCTGCGTTGCTGTGGGCTGGCACCAGGTTCGGGACTTGTCGAAGAGATCTTATTCGTTCGCTGATCGTCCGGTTTCCGACTGCCTGGATTAGGGGAAGGAGTACCACTGTTTTTGTAGGGAATGGGAGGGCTCACTTCCTTCACGCTCAAGTTGATTGCCGAGAATCCCGGAGGCATGGTACCACATGTGGGATCGTAGTGGTACATGGGTCTGGGGTAGATCGGACCGGCACTTTCATCCATTTCGACTTTCATCATGGGATGGTGCCGATCCGTTGGACCAGTGGATAAGCCCAAGTGGTGTTGACTGGGTTGAATTTCCGGAGGTGCTGGAGGCTCTGCCGAAATGTATTTCTGTTCTTCATCGAGGATGGACTGTGAGTATCCGTACGAGGAATAGAGATTGCTTCGCTGCGGTGGATAGCTAGTGTCGTATCGTTCGAAAGCTGTCTGCGGAGCCGGTTCGTAAGGTCGATGGTTCGTCAGGTGTGACGCCGAGGTGTCGTATTCACCGAGTCGGTTACCCATCGATGGCGGTGACGACAGGGTGCTCATCTGAGCGTACGAACGCCCATCGTTGAGATCCGTATATCGCAGGTTATCCCGCGTAACGTACGAGTAACTGTTATCGATCATTTTGACTTAACTTGCACTAATCGGGGTAACACTTAGAAATATACACTAACGTAGTAACACTGCTTAGAGTATAATTGGTGATATTCGGTAGAGATCGTATAGATATTGCACTTGTAGTATATTGTAGGGTTTCTTCTAACACTTATCGTTGAATTGTTGGGATCCGATTGGTAAATTTTCCGGATTCAAATCTGAAAGGAAAAAAAGAGATAGATATCCAATCAGTAACCATCCACACCAAGCAAGGTAGATCTTTAAAACTTCTTCATTCGGCTTTAATTATTGACCGCCTGCGGTCGCCCTGTTTCCCCTTTCCGCAAAACACAAACCCATTCAACGGCAAATTCGCTTACATTAAAAATCGGGCCACACCACCCTTCTTTCAAAGAACCATCTCGTAGCCGTAAAAAGATAATGAGCAACTAGAGGCCTTGCACCCCTTTCGCATTTCTCCTCATACATGCTGGAACACTCGGTGCGATTCGGAATGCGCCGTCGGCGGGACCGCACTAGGAGAGATAATAGCAAACCATCATATTTATCTCTGCAACGGAAATAAAATCGTGTTCCTCCGTCGTCCTGCCGTGAAGAGCAGCAAGCAGCATCAACAGCAGCAGCGAACGAGTGTGTCCTAAAGGAATTGCCAAAGACATGAAGGATATGATTTATCGTTCTGCCTTCTGCTGCCAGCCAGCCACCCCCCGCCCTGCTTCCCGCACGCGACAACCGGAGATGACAATTCTTTATTCTTTCCCCCTTGTTCAGGACTGCTTCGGCGAAGAAAGAACCCCTTTTGACTGACTGCCTGCCTGGCTGCCTGGCTGCTACCTTATACGTGTGCTTTGAAGGAAAAATAGTGACGATGACAGTAAAGAGCACTTGTGACATTCATAATTTTTATTGATTATACGGACGATAAAGTAGACGAGAGTGGAGAATCCGGAATGCCGTTTAAATCTCACGGGAAGGTGGCGTGGAGTCGTGTGCTCTGTTCTGAGGATGGCTTCATATTGGTGCATCGGAAAGGCGGTGGAAACATTGGTGAGGACATGTCGTGTTTTTTCCTGTTTTGGGAAAAAGGTGGATTTGGCGTGTTTCCTGTGTCTGTACATGGCTCGGTATGTAATCGCATTGTTATACATTTATTCATGGGTGCATGTTGTGAAGTGGATTTGAATCGCGAAAGTAGCAAAGTGAATGATTTAGTGAATTGATTTACACATAAATAAAATATGATCTAGCCTTGAAATGATTTATAATACTCTGGAAAACGGTGAAGTAAGCGTATCTTTGTAACTATCTTCAGAGTCTTAGATTGAAGCCACTTCGTTTGTTTTATTTGAATAGAATGTTAGGCTTCAGTCTCGCGAAAAATGACGTTTGGCTTGAATCCTGGAGATACAAGAGTTCGTGCACTGAAGAAAATTTGACACACAAGCCGGCCCTTTTTTGCTAAAAATAATCATTTCTCGATTATTTTTTGAATAGGTCCTATGTCCATTTGTCGATAAAACAAAACAACTAACTCCATTAGCTTTCACCACGTTGCTTTGCAATATTACTTTCATTTTTCCATATATATATATATATATATATATATATAGGAAGGACTCGACCTATAATGCCCACCGGCGGTAGTAGTATCAGCATTAGACCTACAGTAGTTTCCCAGTGTCAACAGTCGTGGTTAGGTACTAAATTCGTCTGACTGACACCTAATAAGCCCCCCTCCCCCAATCCATGGATTATCCAAATGTCGGTCCAGAATCTCGATATCTGCCTGTTGTTCCTTCATATTTTTTTTATCCTTGGTCATGCCTGAATCGCATATTAAGCTCCCTGAAACTGCAGCCGGTTCCGATTGCGGACAGCGATTCAGACTGGCTCTGTTATCTCTGGTGTGGTTACCTTCACAATTCTGTTAGCAGCATCTTTCTTAATGTTGCTGTTGCCGTCGGTGATACGAACAGTTGCGAAAGAGCGTAGAGAGACCTCCACAGTCAATCGAATCCGGGTTCAGTCCATAGAATAAGCTGAAAGGCTGACTGATTGGTGAACCCTCAATCGTACCGGGGTGTTCTGTGGGAGAAGCTCCTTACCCATATAATTGACTCTCGGTCCGGATCCTATGGCCATCTAGTTAATACTTAGTTCTAGTTAATTCTGGCGTATTCTGTGGGGCGTGCTGACTCTGACTAGTTCGTTTGGACTTCCCTGAAACTATGGACATCTCTCAAAAGCCGTGTGGACTTTCTATAGAGGTTCATCCCCCAGAAGGCATAAGGACAAAGAGCGTTTTGTCAGTTATACAATCTCTTATTATGATTGGAGACAATTTCGCTGGAAAATGGCACTGACAAAAAATCCCTTTCCCCTTACTGTAAAGTAAACGAAAAAACAAACCTTAGCAACGATTGGCAAAATGTCAACACAAAACAGTGATGCCATTTTATATAATCTTTTGTGTAATACTTGTCATCGTGTGCCATGACCCGCATATCAGTGTGCCACGATGTATTTCGGCACAATGTTCAGAGTTGATTGCCCCTTGGGTGGCCTACTTTAAAAAAAAAACTACAAGGGACAGCCCTATGGGGTTGTACGCAATGAAATGTTAATTGCAGCAGGAGCTTGTGTTTTGAGTAGGAATAGGAATTTGAGCAGAGTTCTCTCTGTTTATACTCTAGTATGACGCGCTTGGCATATATGACCCACAGCGACTCACGAAGAGCTACTGATTACGATCAATAGCGGTGCGGTTTCTTCTTCCTTCTATGGATGGTCATGTGGGCGGCAGCTCGCTGCTTGCAGGCAGTGTTTCGTTGTGTACTGGAGAACAATGTTCAATGCCACTCGCCGACAGCACTGCTGATGCCGACAGCCCAGCTGATGCCGACGACCGGACACCACCACACACGGTGATTGGAACTGAATCCGATCAGCGGTTGAGGGCAGCCTTGATAGCTAGTTGCCTGCGGGGAATCTTTCGTTGTGTACTGGAGAATGCCACCACTCACCACGCGGTGATTGAATAACCACCGATTGGTAAGACCGGATGGAATTAAACTTTGAAATCGCTTTTCGCAGGCAATCGGTGTTAATTTTAGTTATCATAGCAACAGATGAACTTTCGTGCAATTTTCAAAAGTGACATTTTGTAAAATGATAGTCTTAAATTTCTAGTTCAGTGTTCACTCGGCTGTCGACAAAAACAGGCCACATTCGATGTGTGCCACGCAATCGTCTGTTTTCTCGGCAGCAATCAATGTGTGGTCCTCCTCATTGTTCTTTGTCAGCAGTTCTTACGGTCGATGCGTCGTCGACTTTGGAAAGCAACCGTTTCGTGATAAGTGTGTGAGTGTTGACCACGTTTTGCGTCCATTGCTGCAATGGAAGCGCTTTGCCCACGATGGCATAACTGCCACTGCAAGCGGCTTCAGTTCTGATGGAGGAGGCTTTTTGGATAGCGGAAGATAAAGTGATTATTATGTTGTACCTTTTGACTATAGTTTTAAGATGTATTGTATAGTGACCAAGAATCCTCGGCTCTGTAAAGTTAATTCGGTTGAGCCTTATCAAATAAATTAATTAACAAATTTCTGCGTAGAAATATCTCTGATCGATTGGTGATAAAATTGTTGAAATTGGTCCAGGGGTAGCAGAGTTATTAACGCTCAAAATCTTTCATAATTGTGTTACATGTTCCATTTTTGGTTTCACAAAGTGTACCCCCGTATAGAAATCACAGACGTAGTCCTACGTCAAAAAAAAAGCGAAAAGAGTCGTTACACGATCTATAATTAAGATCTATAATTTTTAGTAATGAGCACAAACATTCACAACTTTTGGACAAAGCCGACGAATAAAAGTACTTGTTCAGGTGAGAACAAACTTACTAATGATTATTTATTGCGTACGAAAGCAGTGCTTACCAATTCAGCACGCTTGCTACTACTGGCACTCCTCCTCGTGCAAATCTGGACTTATTCCCATTTGCCTCCTCATGTTTTCGAAACGAACTCGTTGCAGTGGTTTCGTTAACAGGTCGGCAAGCATAAGCTCCGAAGGGCAATACTGCAGATTGATTAGTTGTTGTTCGGTGGAGATCGCGAAAGGAAAAGAATTTTGTTTCGATGTGCTTGGTCCTACGCTCCAAACGTTCACTTTCAATTAACTTGATGCAGCTCTGATTGTCTTCAAAACACCGTGATTGGCAGAGCTGAAGACGACTGCTTTCTGGAACCCCACTGGATTATGTCTCCTCCAAACATGATTTAATGCTCAGATTTGGATTTCCGGTCTCGTTTGTGTCCTGCTCAATCCGCGTCGGCGTATATTGACCACGGAGGCAGAAACGTCATCCGCCAACGTTTTGCTTGAAGCCAAATTTGTTGGTTCTTTGGCTCGACCTTGGAAAATGAAATAGCGATGCTCGAAAAATAAATATACACTGATTTTTTTTTTAATATTTCCCCCTTTATGATATTCCCAACTGTTGAAGGGAGGAGGGGGGAATGACAAAAGAAAAACTAGATATTTGTTCCGGCCTAACTTGAAAATTTGAGGCGATCGTCAGGGAAAAGTGGATCCGGTAGGAGAGCTTCTTTTGTCTTTGATAACAAAGGGTTTAAATGTGCATACTTTGCGCTCTTAAACGCTTTGTGTTGAAGCTTTCCAGCTGAAATATCGTACCAAAAGAAAAATGAATTCATTAACGCCGAAATCGTAGGTACATATATTTGATGTTTCCTGCTCGATAGGACACAAATTGGCAATTTGGCCCAAGTAAAGTTTAAAAGCAATCTTGAAAAAATTGTAAGTACAGCGTTTACAAACTATTGCGATGTTTCAGATATTTAATTTATATTATATTAGCTGTAAAGTACACAGCTAAAAAAAAGGAGAGTAAATTTCCGTTACTATGATGCACATAAATTGAGCGGCATAAATCATACAAATTTACATTATAAATCGTGTAAATTTATGAGACATGTCATGCAATATTCCTGCCGGCGCCGGTGGTGTAGTGGTAAGCGTGACTGCTTTCTAACACCCCAATGGGTCTGGGTTCAATCCCAGTCGAGGTCAGTGGGATTTTTCTGAGGCATAAAAATCTCTGGTCACGTCTTCCTTCGGAATGGAAGTAAAGCCGTTCGTCCCGGCCCATGTGTGTTGTTGAATGGATGCGATA